CCTGGGAGCTTTACTAGAGAAGAAATGAAAGCCTACAACTCTCTGGAAGCTTACAAGTGATTTTTTTTAATGAATCACTAGTTATGTACCGGCATAAGTTATTTTTTGAGAATTTTACTGAATTATTTTTTCCGAAATGTATTCAAAGTTTGTTGTTGATTTTGGCCTTTTAGCCGAATGACTATTATTGGCCTACATTTCACTTTTACATTATTCATTTTAAACTTTGTCATAGTTATGTTATAAGTGGACATGTTGGCAAAGTTTATATGCATCCAGTTGGTACAAATGTTCCTTACTATTAAGGCACAAGTGATACCATCCCAAAGATTATCTGGATCCTTCCATCAACCTTGGGTGTGTGTTAAGAAAAGAACTGGCTCAATTTATTGTGCACATTGCAACTGCATGGCAGGGTAAGATATATTTTAATATTTGAAAATACGCCTGGTTTAGCATACTAAAAAACACTTCACCTTGTACTCCCCAGAGTATGGAAACATTGGATAATGACCATAAATACTAACATACAAACATATCATTTGTAGACTTGGTGAGACATACAGTCATGTTGCTGCTGTACTATTTAAAGTAGTATATAAAGCGAAGTATAAAGAGAGTATAAAGCACTCTCTAGGTTACTGTAAAAAAATTGAAATTTAATTTGCATGACATGGATTGATAAATCCTTTTTGCAATTTGAAGTGTCTATCTATTGTTAATATTGGGTAATTATTATCATTATTATTATTATTATTGTCATTACTTTTAACATACTAGGTTCTCTGATATACAAATTTACTATTTTTTGCTTTCTATACTTGTACAGCTTGAGACACTCACTATTTCTGAAGAAGCATCATTGTTTCAAGGCAATCACAAGACCACTAGGGAATGTCACAATCCAACTGGATCTGATCCCTTTCCCTCCATAGAAGATCTAAAAGAATCGCAACAAATCTGCCCAGATGCATGTCTGTTTGGTATAATTCCAAAGTTAGAGAGTGAAGAAAGTGACACTGCATCTGAGGATGAATGCTGTGGTGTCTTTCCTGAGCTCTTACATGATTTGTTTGAGGAGAAATTCTGTAATCTTGAAGCTAGCCAGCTGGCATCTTATGCTCAGTCACGCTGGGCAAGGTACAAAATCAGTGAACAGCAAATCAATAATTTAGAAAAGCAGACAAGATCACAGTCAGCCAGTAAATTATGATCAATTGGTCTTGTTGTGGCAAAGGATGTTTGGAGATCAAATGGTCTTTCAAAAATAGGCAAAGGTCAGTTAAGGAAGCAGCCAATGAAGATCCTGATTTCTGCCTTGACAAATCATTTATTTTGAAGCACAACCATAGGTACTACACACAAGTGCAATTCCAAATGTATATTTTAGAAGTGCAGTACAGTGATTTTGTAATTGCCACTGACGTTAACAAAAAAATCATCAGAGTTTCATATAATCACCAGTTCTGCAACAATCTGGCTTCATTGTCAAAAAGGTTCTTTTTCGACAATGTGCTCCCTGAAATTATCACCAAAAAACTTTATTCAGAGCGAGCACAATCTACAACAAGTGATGAAGATTTATGGTGTGTCTGTGGCAAGAAAACCTCTGGAAAGATGATTATCTGCGCAGGAAACTCATGTAGGATTAACAAATTTCACTACAAATGTGTTGACCTACAAAGGAAGCCAAGGAAAGAATGGTTTTGCTTGAATTGCTCCACCAAGTGAAGTACGCTGGCCTGTTGTCAATGGAAAACTGTTTGATGACAAATGTGATGATAAGAATTCTAAAAATTTACCGATTAACTAATTTTTGAAAAGTTCAGTTATTTTTTTCATAAGTAAGTAAGTTCTTTTGCATAAATCAAATTATGAATTTGATAGTTTGTTGGTTCAGCAAGACTAAAGCATTATTTTCATCCTATTCCTTCAAGGAATTATGTTTCATTTCTAGGGTTTTTGTTTCTGATTTTATTATTTCTGATTATGCTTCTCTTTTCAATGAAATGCTGTTTCCTTGTGATATATTATTTTTTCAGAATTAACAAAGGCCTGCTTTTAAAAGAGAATCATCCTATATTTTCAGTAGTTCATTCTCTGTTATTCTCCTATAAAAAATTCTGGAATTTGGAGCATGATTTGCAGCTATTAATTTAATTCAAGCAACCTAGTTAAAACATTCAAAGATCAGGCTACCTAGTTAAGTAACAATACTTTCAGTCAGGCAATCTTCTAACATATCTTGTATAAAAGAGGGAATATGTCTCGAAAAATGTGTTGATCAGCAGCTTAGAAAAATGTGTGCCTTTTGGGCTTCAATTTTGCCCCTACTACTATCCCTGATTCAGCACATTCATTTAACTATCTGATAATACATAGAATTGTAATCTTACATGTCATTAAAAATGTGGATTCGGTGCATTCGGTGTCAAAACTGCCAGGAGGTGAATATGTTCCGGGTGACTTTTCCCTGAGAAAATTGTGAAGAACACAGCATGCAAAAATGATCTTCTCTACGTTTTTGGATGAAAGCAAAATCAGGGATAGTAATACACGAAAATGATTCGCCAGTATACTGAACGCGTTTTCCACTACTGGCCTCGCCCTGAACAAACGGTAGTTGAAAATTGGCTTTTCCTTTGAAAGACCTTGGAAGGGTTATGGTTTTAGCATGTTGACTTTCAGAGGGAAAGCATCATCAGCAACCATTGCATATGGCAGCAATGTTTCACAATCCTCCATTGAATGAGGGCAAGGCAAAGTGAGATAATTCTCCTGCAACCCAGTAACAAGGGAAGAGTTGCGGAATACTCCACCATCACTTATCCTTCCATTAGAACCAACATCCACGTAAATAAATTTGTAGTTGGCATCAACTAGTGCTAATAGTATGATACTGAACGTGTTTTTGTAATTAAAGTAGTAGGACCCAGAATTTCGTGGCTGCTTTATCTGCACATGTCTGCCATCCAGAGACCCTATGCAGTTTGGAAAATTCCACAAATTTTCGTCTTCCTGTGCTATTTTTTCCCATTCCTCTTCAGTTGATGGTGTCTAAAATTAAATTTTAGGATGTAAGCGATTTAGAGGAGCCAACAAAAGGTGATTTTAACCTTTTCATGCCTGGAAGGGCCATATGGCCCATGAAGATTCTTTCCTTTCTAAAATTTTAAAACCGAAAGCTTTCCCTGGATGCCCGGAAGGGCCATATAGCTCTTGTTATTGACATAATTAATGCTAGGTTTTGTGAGTATAGCATGGAGTACCTCTCATTGGCAACTCGTGTTTAAGGTGGTGGTTGAGAGGTGCTTTGCTTGTGAAATTCAGTCCTCCATTCCAGGTAAGATCAATACTTTAACTAGGTAATAAAAATACTCCCATGTTGGAAAAGTGTCAAAGTTTATTATTTCAAAGTGTTTTATAATGTTTGTGATCATTTTAGAATGATTTCAGATAGGTTTTAATGTTGGGCCATACGGCCCTTGCGGGAATCAGAGGCATATTTGAGATCACTTGGGCCCATTGTTTTTTTGTGTTGAAATGAACGTAGAACCCAGAAAAAACTGCTGATTTTGTTGAATATAGTTACAAGAAATAGGATCTGGGCACTTTTTAGAAGCAGATTAAGTTTCGTAAATAGTTTTATAGTAGTTTAAGACCAATTCTGAAAATGTGAGTCAACACAAAGGGAAAACTTGCTTTCTTTTAGCATGGAAAATATTTGATTCAATTGTCAAATGGAAACATTTATCGAAGATCATGAAGTGGAGGGTGTGGTGGAAAAATGGGTGATTGTCACTCCTGGTTTTGAATCAGAGGATGAGAATGCGTCAAGTGAAGATGAATGTGAATCAGATGATAAAGTTCCTTTGGCAGACCTTATTCCACTGGCAGGTCTAGCAAGTAATAATGTGTCTCCAGAAGAGCCTGAAGTTGAAAAAGAAAGGACGTACCGTTGGAGAAAAGGAAGACCACCAGCTGGTAATAATTTTGCATTCAAAGGAGATGACAATCTGGGAAGTTACGAAGATTTGAAGGAGCCAATTGACTTCTTTGGCAGTTTTTTAATGTTGAAATGATCAGATCGATCTCCAAACAGACCAACTTGTACTCAACACAGTGTAATATCAACAAGGGTTCAATTGGAACCTCTCCAGATGAAATTGAGAATTACCTTGGGGTGCTTTTACGCATGTGCATTGTGCAGATGCCAAGGTATCGTATGTACTGGGAGACCGAAACACGCTACGAACAAGTGGCAGGTATAATGAGCAGAAATCGTTTTGAGCTCATCAAGAAATTCCTGCATTTTGCTGACAATAGCAATGCACCAGATCCTAGAGACCCAAACAGAGACAAACTTCATAAAATCAGAGAACTTTTTGAGCAATTGCGACAGAATTGCCTCAAAGTAAAGCCAGAGGAAAAAAATTCCATTGATGAGCAGATTGTACCATTCAAGGGAAAGAGCAGCCTTAGGCGGTACTTGCCAAAAAAGCCAAAGAAATGGGGTTTCAAGATATTCTCTCGAAACTCCGTGAGTGGGTTTTGCCATGACTTTGAACTTGATGGTGCCCCAGATCCTGCAAGACCGCCTTGTGAGAGCATTGGTTCAAGTTCAGGTGATATAATTCTAAGAATGTGTGCAAGTTTGCCAAAGCATCAAAATTACAAGGTGTTCTTTGATTACTATTTCACCACCTTGTTTTACTGGCAAGGTGAAAGGAATGGGGCATGTTTGCTGTTTGCTGTAGGCACCCTGCGGCAAAATCGCATCAAGGGATGCACCTTGAAAACAGAAAATGAATTGAAGAAGGAAGGCAGAGGATCTTTTGATGGTGCAGTTGACCTCAATTCTGGACTGACCGTGGTGAGGTGGTATGATAACAAAATGGTGCAGCTTGGCTCCAATTATGCTTTCACAGCACCAGTTGAAACTGTCAGAAGATGGAGTACAAAGGAAAGGAAATATGTTGATATTGAAAGGCCTGCAATTGTGCAAATTTATAATGGAGGAATGGGTGGAGTCGATTTGTTTGACATGTTTCAAGCACTGTATCGACTTCACCACAGGAGCAAAAAGGGCTACATGCGGATCCTGGGAACAAGTCGATAAATGCTTGGTGCCTCTACCGACGACTCACTGGACAGGGTGGCATACCCCAAGCAGAGCAGAAAGATCTGCTGCACTTCACAGCACAGGTGGCCTCCTCGTTGGTAAGGAATTCTTTGCCAAAAAGAGGAAGAGGCAGACCAAGCCTTGAGCCAACAGAGGATGATATTGCAAAAAGGCCAAGAAGACCCCCCACAAGAATCCCCCAAGATGATGTTCGTCATGATTGACTCCAACACTGGCCGGAACATAGACCAGACAGACCAAGGTGCTCAAAATGTGGAGATAAAACAAGGGTTGGGTGCACCAAATGTAGGGTTGGACTTTGTATCACAGCTTCAAGAAATTGTTACAAAGACTTCCACACAAATTAAAAAACAATAACTTAAAGCATGCTAGCAAATTTTTAACAATTAGAGTGTATGATTATTCATTTATTTTATGTAAAGTTTATTTATTTATTCATTTATTAATTTATACAGGGTAACACTTTTGAGCTATTTGTCACTATTCTTGCAGCTTTATTATCCAATTGTAATTAATTTAACTTAGTAGTTCAACAGGAGCCCAAAACAGAGCAGCAATAATTGAAGTTGGGCTCTACTATACCCTTATATATGTTGAGTTAACTTTTTACAGTAATGCTCATGTAGTTCAATTGCTTGACTCTTTTGTGAAATCACATTATATTTGGTTTCTATTGCTTCTGGAATTCGGTAAATTTCTAAGTTTTGATGCAAACTAGTTTGCCACACCCAGCCCCACCCATACATCCAACTCCCCCAGGAATGCAGTAGACTGGACTTGACATTAGTTTCTTTTATGCAGCTATTTTATGTGACAAAAATGATTTGTAGGTAGTGATTACAGATATAAAGCTAGGAAGGAAGAAACTGCCAAATTTACCTTGAATTCCCAGAAGGGCCGTATGGCCCAGCCCCCTATTTAACCCCAAATAATGTGGAATATGAAAAATTACAAAAGAGATCAATATCTAAACTATTTTTAAGCTAGAATCAGTTTGCTAAGATTTTTTTGCATCATTGGAACATAATTAATGATGGGGATACAGCTTCAGTGGCAAGAATAAAGATGACCCAGAAGATATTTTTGGCAAACATGTGGCCGTAGTCTTACGAGCTGTCTCTGACCTAAAAAACAGCTAACTTGCAGAATTAAAAATTCAATAAATTTCATTTCAAGCCCAATTTGGGATGTCAGGCATACCAATACAACAAAACGAAACAAATTTACAATTTCAGTCCACCCCCATGTCATCATTTGTTCCTAGGCCCTCTTTGCCTCAAACCTCACATTCATTTGAAGATACAACCTCTACAGAAGCTGATTATTGTACCCTTTGAACTTTTTTGTACAATTTTAAACATAGAAAATAATACGCACTTTTAAATATGTGTCTTTCAGTTGTTTGTAAACTGCCTTACATACTTCTGGGATGATCCTTGATAATGTGCTCTTATGGATTCTGAATTGATACTGAAGATCAGCATAACTAGCGCCAGTCGACAAAAAACGAATTGTTGCAGCTAACTGAATTTTTGGAGGTATAGATTCCCTCATTATCTTCTTTGGCAATATCATTTTGTATCAAGGCCAACAGTTCATCGAAATATTTCTGGTTTCATCCTCAACCTGTTGGCGAAATTCCCTCAACAATGTATCATACATTCCTAGTTGCGAACGTTTTTGTAGCCATGGTTTTACCCATGTGGACCTCTGTTTCTCCTCCTTTTTCGTTTTGAAATTGTGGCAATAATAATTGCAGAGGCAGCATGTTCTATGTCGCTATCCATTGCAAAACTGAAAAACTGAGGAATTTTGACTAATCGTGTAAACACGCGAGCCTTCAGTTAAGTTGATGAGAAAACGGATATAAAAATTTTTTGGGAAAAACTGACAGAAAAAAACTGATCGTTTATTTCAGCATTAAGTGAACTGAAAGGTTTTCTAGATGACACTGCTTCCCAACAAAAGTTAGGTGCTTCATGTTTCACCACTAATTAACATCTATCCCATTTTGGCCTCATGCATGAAAAGTGCTTTTCTGTAAGCTTGGAACTGGGGCAAATTCAACCTCAAATCAAGGAGAAAAACGGAAAGAGCATTGCTATGAACGTTGCTAGAGGAATCTCGTACATTCTGCCTTAAGCAAAATGTAAAAAAGCATACTTGCCAAATTCTGTTAACACTGTAACTTCCCCATGCCAAAGGTAATGTTTCAAGGTATTTTCAGGAATATTTTCAAAATTTGAATAAAAAAAGAATTTTGGACATTTTGAGAGGGGTTTAGCTACCTATGGTTCAACAAAAACATTCTTACTTCAAAAGCTTGCATCACTTGCAACAATACTTTCAGTGCAAATAAGGCTCAACTCCCATCCATCAAATTCCTTTAGATTTTTGCCTCTGTCTCTAATAATGGCAGGTAACTTTAAGATGCACACTAAAGTTATGAAATAAGCAACTCTCTGAAAACTTCTGTTTGCATGAAATAACCAATAGGTCTGCAGAGATTCATAACACAAACTACATAACAACTGTCTCGATCAGTTACAGTTGTTTTAGCTGGATGAAGACATGCATTTCTGGGAACAGTTTATAACTTGCTAAGAATCTCCACCAGGATACAATGCATAAAAAACTTTTTGGATTCCTCTAAGCACTTTTAAAAAAATTCAGCATCTAACCTTAATTTTTCATTATGAAAGTCCTTTTCTGTCAAGAAAACAAAGTGACATTAGCCTAGCTTGATGCAAAACAGTTTTCACTGAATTTGATAAAAGTATGGATGTGGCTTTTTAAGACTTATTTTGTTATCTTGATACAAAAAGCAAAAATCGTTCTTTTTTACCCCTCCAAATATTTGCGTTTATCTCTGATACAGTCTGGACATTTTATCTCTACCAACCTTCTCTGCAAAATTGACATTCAACCAGTGAATCAGGTGTTACTGCAAGAAATTGCTCATCAATAGAAATAAATAGAAAAGGCAAAAACTCCATCATTGATTGGTATTGGTGCAATAGAAGTGGCACATAAAGGCCGCGAGGTACAGGCAAACGGGCAATGAAGCGGCCAGGTAGTTCAAAGATTGGCCGACATTGTACTGTCTTCATGAAAGTTATTTCGTCAAGAGATCATGGGAACGTTGTGGTGGAAGCCTGTCTTGGACACACAGGCCATGAAAAGAAACCCAGACATTCGAGGATTCAGGACCAAGACAAGAAATTGCTGGAAAACTTGCAAAAGGTGTGAAAGTTGAGTCGATATTGGGCGAGATTTGTAACAAGGCAGGAGGTTGGATATTTAGGGATCTTATGGATAACAAAGACAAAACAAACATAATCTACATCATAATCACAAACAACATCAACTAAATGTAGACTTGATGGAAAAAGACACAAAAAGTGTTGACTTTTAGGTCAATGAGCTACAAAGTGGTACATTAAATCCCAAATTTGTGTACAAACCTCAAGGAGTGAATGAGTACTCGCTACCAGCAGAAGACTTTTTGCTTTGCATTCAGACGAAATTTCAGTTGGATATGCCCGAAAAAATACGGGAGAAAATAATTTTTATGGACTCTACCCATAAAGCGAACCAATATGACTTTCAGTTCATCTTGGTGTATTCATAGACGAAACCCAAGACGGAGTGCCTGTAGCATGGTTAATTTCAAAAAGGGAAGATCAGCTGGTTCTTTCCTGGTTTCTTGCAGCCATGGTGGCGAAGTGTGGGAACATGGAGACGCAAGTCTTCATGTTAGATGATGCCAACAACTTCTACAATGCTTGGGTTCTGAGTTTTCCAAAACCAAATTAGAAATTGATATGCGCTTGGCATGTTGATAAAAATTAGGAAAAAAGACTGAAATCACACATTTCAACTACAGACAACATGGCAGTGGTTTATGCAGCTCTGAAAAAGATGCAATTGGAGGAAGATCAAGCGAAATTCAGCAAAAAGCTCCAGGAATCTTGTGGCTGATGTGAGAAGAGATGTCTGCGGTTTTACAGCTACTTCTTCCCAATGTGTGTGAAGCATTTTGAGCAATGGGCATTATGTTTTCGAATTGATGCGGTGATGCAGGTTTTTGATGGCTTGATTAAGAAGGGTACCTACAAAATGAGAGCCACTGATAAACGTCACAAAAGTGGTGCACCAATCAAAGAGCAGGAGGTAATCAAGGTAGACCCCGGTAATTCAAGAGTACATTCACAAGAAGATGATAGTCGAAGTTACTGTATTTCATGAATAGAAGACACGCGCAATTGTATTATTTGTTGCTCCAAATGCAGTGTAGGCAAACAAATGTATCACTTTGGCTGCATTGACTTCAATGTTCGAGGCATAGCATGCAAACATATTCATGCAGTTCACACACGACAACTCATTTGTAATAAAGAGCCAAGTACAAAAAAAGACAAAACAAAGTTGGATGCTGATTCAGAAGAAAGTGAAAATGTAAAGTATTTTCAAGAAATACTACGAGATAATTCAGAGGGGCCTGGTTTTATCTTTAATCTAGCTAGTGTCCAAGTTATAATGTTAGCAAAAATTGCCGAATTAACTGCTGATATAGTTCAAAGCTCAACAAGGTCACAAAGCGCTTCGAACAGCAATGGCACATGTTAAGTCTGCAATAACTGTAGCACAAGGCCTTGGGCACCTGGATAGCGAACATGCTTATGACCTTAAACCTAAGGGCTACATCTCTTTGAACAAGAAATCTGATATCCAGCCAAGATTCATAAAAGAAAAAGGGTACAAGAAACCGCAAAACAGTTTGTCATTCCCCATGACAGAACAACGGAAAGCTGTAAAGATGAAGCTTCTGGATCAAGTTCCATTTATTTACAGAGGACCCATCGCAGCTCCATGACAAAGTGCAGAGGAAAATAACCTGTGTAACTGGTAAAAGACAGGGGCAGTGCGGGTGAATGACTCGGCCTTGGGTTTTTGCTTGAAAGAAAGACCCTATAGCTCAGCAGTAGAACACTTGAGGTGCAAAGTCAAGTTATTTTCGTGGTTATTTTCCCGCACTCTATACTTATTATCTTTACAAATCCTGTTGCCTGTAAGCTTTCTTTTTATCCACTGCTAAAAAAGCACAATTTTGTACAGTCAACTCGTTTATCTTCATATGGCACGAAGGCTGTATGGGCATTTCACTTCAAGAACTGCAAGGCCATGGCACTTACAATTAACCAAAGCATCGGGGGTTGCTGCTATATATGGCTTCTTGGCATCTACAAACAAGCCACATTTTCGTATTTTAAAATCATCATGATTTTTTCCTTCTCTAATAAAAAATTCTTTGACTCCTTGGTCTTCATGTTGCCTTCCCCACTTGATGCAGGGATATCACCAATACCGTTGCACTTGTACATTACTTTATGTCTCAGGGGTGTAGTTTTGGGTCTTATTGCACCAGTGCACTTAATAATGCTGTGCATTTTTGTGTGAATGTCATGGTGGGTAGAGCCAGTGAGAGGTCCTGAAAATGGTTCATCCACAAATCATCTGCAGCTTGCCCCATTGTTTTCTTCTCAGTTAACTGGATATCTTGGCTTGACAATGGTAAGGACTGAAGAAAGCTGGAAATTTTCTTATCATTTGTATCATTTCGAGGCAGTTCAATCACTCTATTAGCAAAATTTTGTAAAATGAAGCTCTCAGCTTCTTCAGATGGGTCCTCTCTGCTTGGCTTTCTGACTTCCTCTCTGCTTGGCTTGTTCTTCTCTTTTGACCTGAATCTTTTTCTTACAACTATATCCTATATCTGTTTTGGATTCACTTCTTTCTTTGATGACTTATTCCAACTGCATGGAACTGAAGTACATGAGGGATCAAGGTAACCTTGTCTAAGAAATAGTCAATCTTGCAAAGGGTTGCAATAGCATGGTTGCATTGGTGTGTTCCTGTCATAGAGCTACACCAGCTTGTCAATATATCCACGGGCAGCTTCATATCAACTGCAGCAAAGGCATGTGCAACAAGGTCAACTTTTTTCCAAGATGTGTTTAGCCCATGGACAAAAAATCCACTAAAATGTCTCTTCCGAATTAGAGGAAATCTTCATACTTGCTGAGTGCCATTGTAAAGACGACCCTAAAACACACCTGGAATGAAAAGAAAGCTTCACTGTCAGCAAAAAATGTAACAATCAAGTGAAATCTGAGGTGACAAGAAAGAAAATGAAAGGTAAAGTAACGTACGAAATTGCATGAAATCGCTTAGGTGCAAATAAATGGATGAAACTCTGCTTGGTCTTGTCTTTAAAATCAGATCAAAACAGATCAAAATTGCGTAGAAATCTTTTCAATCTTAAAGCTCTGGCTTAATTTCATATATAGTTAGACCCTGACTGCTTGCTTCCGTTAGAGGCATGCGATCTTCTCTCGTATGTTGTTTTGGAGACCAGCTTTTATACGAATAAGCAGTTCAAAGCTTACAGTCACTGGGTTTGTGTGAGCTCCATTGGCTACCAGAATGATGAAATAAAGATTTATGACAGTCTCTACAACAATGTAATTTCAAATGAGGTAGAACAACAAATTGAGTGTATGCTTGGAGGTGCACCGTTTAGAATGATGGTTGCTTCAGTTCAGCAGCCACAGAATGGCTCTAACTGTGGAATATTTGCCATTGCCTTTGCAACATGATTGACTTTTCGACAAGATCCATCATTTGTTGAATTTAATGTCTCACAAATGAGAAAGCATCTACTAGGTTGCATCCAGTCTGGTAACATGGAGCTGTTTCCAACTGTTTCATGATTTTGCTGTTTACCATTTTTTGTTACTTTATAAACATTCTTCTGTTTGTGTTGTTGTTATATTTAACCAGTTAAAGTTTCAAGAAAAAGCATCCTGTGGTTTTTATTTATCCTTCCCATTGCATTAATTACAAAATCTCTCTGGTTTTGGATCAGTTTGGAGTATATTTCAGACCTGTTTTCTTTTGACTCTCCTGCTCATTGATATTTGGGGTGTACAACACACCCCCATTTAAAACCCCACTTATTTTGCACCAAAGAGTACCCTTTCTAGAAAGGTGAAAAGTTTTTGCTCTTGCGTTGTTAAAAACAGGCTTTGACTTGAGACTGCCAAGCGGCTTTAACTTGACTGACTGCTATTGGTGGTGGTAGGAAATGGAGATTCCCCTGCTCGAAATCGTTTGGTTTTCCGCATGTGAGGGGGAGGGGGTTCCTGGCTAAATAATGAGAAGCTGCGGCGGGTCCAGAAGAAAAAAGTAAGGTAAATTAAATACAAGAAACATTTTATCATCATCAAACAATTTGTCTGTAAATTTATTGAATATTGTATATATTTTATAATCAATTCTTTAAACCACCATCACTTCAAGAAAAATTAGCATTTTTCACACCTTTTTTGGCAACAAATCTTAAGCAAGTACCCCCAGGATTTTTCTCCACTAGCAGCCTTGTTTGAATAATGTTATTGTTGTGATCCATTTGCTAATGACTATAAAACCCAAGCCCTTCAGGAAAAAAGTAGCTTTCAAAAAGTGGCCTTTGTGGAGTCATTGGTGAAAATACAGTGATCAGTTTGCAATAAACTTTTAAAAGTATGCTTATATAATCTTGATTAGGGGATCGTATTGAGCCCACTTAAGTATAGACTTGTTATAAACAATTGCAAGGCTAAAATATAAAATGTTAACAGTGTGACGCTGCGCTCTGAAACCCATGTTCTTTATACAAAAGGCAGAAAGAACTGTCACTAATATCCTGAATATTTGTCAAAATATTGAGAAAAAAAATTGAACTTCTTCCAGTTCAGTCAAATGGAATTATACCAGGGCACAAGTTCACCAGTGCTGAACAAACTCTTATTATTCTATCCAGTAATGGGACAGATTTTTCTTTATTCAGTCCGAATTTGCTGCAGTTCAAATAGGCAATGTGCTTTGGAGAAATGTATATTTTTGCCTGAGTGATCCAATAATTCTCTCGATATGAATACGGACATTTGCAATGCCTCGGGTGTGTTCTATGTCAACTGGATCAAGTTGATATTTTCCTCGTGTGAAAGCTGGTATGTTTATGTTGGCTTGATGATACCAGACACTCTGTTGAATAGTGAATCCTCTGTCAGCAAGGATTAAGTCACCAGGAAGAAGCTTATTCAGTATGCCACAGTTCTGAGTTAAGTGTTTGTCAGATGTTTGGCCCCCCAAGCATTTGACACAAATGATATTGTTCCTTGTGGTGTGATTCCTATCAGGACTTTTGCAGTGTTATGGTTCTTATAGGAGGAGAATGTTTGTGCTCTTGCAAGTAAATTTGAGGGTCTGTCGATGAAGACCTCAAAGCAATCTATAATAACACCTTTGTACATTTAGCCGCAGTTTTATCAAGAAAAGAATAAACTCTTGGAACTTTGTTGTTGTGGGTGAATTTCTGGTCACACATGGAGATACAAATTCATATGTTGCCTTTAACACATCAAAAGAGGGTAGGCCTGTATAAAATCTGACTTTGCCATCATCTTCACAAAAATATTCTCCTGAAAATACATCGTTCACGCATTTCTCTCTTTCTTTAAAGGCATAATCAAATTCTTCAGTTTGTGTTGATTTGTCCTGATGTTGCTTCAAGTTATCTAGATCGTTCAAAGAAACTTCGTGATCATCCTCAAAGCCAACCTCATCAAAAATTTCTGCAATGCTTTCTTCAGGTTCATTTAGCTTCGCTAGCTTTGGCCTTTCTTCATCTTTGATATCCTGTTCCATACGTTTCCTTCTGCAGCATGTCCTCTCAGCGCGATCCGCAACTGCTTCCATGTTTGCCAAAGCTTTCCCTTGCTTGTTGTGACCCAAATTTAATGTTGGAACCCAGTCGATGTTAAATCTATCCCAAGGTTTTGCAGCAATCCCTGAGACAAAGTGTCCAAAGCATACCCAATCGTTTTTAAGGATATTTTCAGTTAGGCCAATTCGGCTAATGGCAGCAATCCATCTTCCTCGCCGCTCTCTTGTCAACTCCTCGTATGCTAGTTATGATAGCAGGAACTCTGCGGTAATGACCAGGTACATCTTCACTTTTGTTATGACAACCATTTAGCATACCAAATACCATCTTATCACATTAAAATATAATTTTAACATCTATAGAAATCAGCCGCCTGCCTCCACTACTTCCAGTACACCAATATAATCTTGTTGATTTTGGTCACGAAAATACACTATACAATGTTCTCTAAGCACACTATCCCTTTGCCTAGTTGGCCATTGACCATTGCCCCACTTGTATTATGGCGTCGAAAACTTCGAAATGGTGTATTATAAGAGACATCGGAAAGAAAATATTTAAACAACGTACAGTTCTGTTGCAATTTGATGCCAGAATTTGTTGCAAAAAGATGAAGAAATGGACTATCCTTGAATCTCTGCAGCCATATGAACTTAGCCAAGTAGTCTGGTATAAGCTCCTGATTTGTTGAACCATGCTGTAACTTGAATTCATTCTTTGCCCGCTGCCACATCGCTTCTACATGGTTTGTAGTGGTCCTGGTGACCGGGTCGACAAAATTGTAGGTGTGGTTCACAGTCTGATGTTGATAGCCGATGTTCCCTATTTGATTGTATGCTTGCCACATGTTCGAACAGAAAATTGAGCAAGGCACTACCCACATTTGAATGATTGGTAATAGGATCACTGCATCTCTTTGTGGAACTGTAACCAGCAACCCTTTTTGTTGACCGGGCCAAAGCCTTCAAAGATCCAATTTTCTGGAAGAATTCTGCTGCGATTGTACTTTCTTTTGAAAAAAAGGCTCTCGTCGATCTCTACCATTTGGCCAGGTCCTCCAATTTGCTGAGGGTTGTTGAGGAAGTGCTCCACACAGACATCGCAGCAAAATTGCTCTCAGTCCATCAAGCTCACACACCCCAGTGATTAACACATGGGTGCTATAGGTTTGAAACACTAGCCATGTAATTGCCGCCTTTAGTGAATGAAAAATATTACTAATCTGGAATCGGGGAATCAGGTAATTGGAGAATATTGAAACCAGTAGGCCAATTTACCAGTTTTATACCTTGTATGAGAGGTCTTTTCGTAAATATTTTATCTCTATGACCAAAACACACACCAGTGCAATACATTTGGTTAGATTTCAAGATATACCAAAACTCCAGCCAAATAACAAGAATTGGAATGCATCTACAGCTACAGCCCTTCCAACAGCGAGGCACCTTCAAAACCATCTTTTTAACGAGATAGCTCAAACAATCTACTGTCTGATGTCTACTGAGACGGCTTTGAGGGACTGTCTGGCATTTTCATGACCCTTCAGGGCTGCCAACTTGGCTTTTTCTAAGCAAAATTTCAGAAATTTGGCTTTTCCAGAACATGTTTGGCTTTGAAAAATGATTTTGCTTAAAGCTAGAATTTGGCTCAATTTGGCTTTTTCAGAACGTTTTTCAATTAGAAACTTGATTTTACCAAAACAAGATGCTTGACATTAAATAGAACATGCAAGAATTTGGGGTTACATCGTATTTTTATCATGAAGAATGGGTGGTTCTTTTTCAAACTTTAGTTCATATGATGTAATTGTTTGGATTTGTAACTTAACTTGCTTCCTCAGCAAACCCACATTTGAAAAAATCCCAAGCAATTATTTAGAAAACACCAGGTGCAATATTTTTATTAGTATGGTAGGATTTTGAGGCCAATAGAGCAACATAAGGGTGTAGAACCCCCAGTGCATATTGAAATTTCAATTTCTTGACAAAGATTTCTTTTAGCCATTTATGTAGAAAATTTATTCTTCTTTTTACTGATATATAGACATAACAGTAGTTTTACTGCATTTTCCTGCTATTTAACTTTTTTTGCTAGGTTTTTGAGAATTGTGCTAATTTCTTCCTTGACAACTGTAAAACGACGTTTTACGGGTAAGGATAGGCAAAAGAAGGACAACAAAATATGTACAAAAGTTTTATTCGATTCTCAAACGACGGCAGTTCCAACTTAACTTCCAATAACCAAACGACTTTCATGTAACGGCAACTTTAAAACGCGACTATAAGCGACCTCAACTGAACGATACGACGTGACTTAACTGCACGGCTTCACTGCACGGCTTCACATAACGACTGAATTCACAAACAAGGGCACAGCATAAAAGTAACACGACAACACACCCTAATTACTTCAAACAACAAAGAACTGATGACAACAATAGCGGTGATGGGATGATGCAATAACATGGAATGTTGATGGCAAGGTGACAAACAACGGAACTATCAAGAACATCAAAAGAACAGGCAACTGAATATCATAAAACTAAATAAAACATAAAACTAATTGCATAACATAACTCCCCCCTTTGAAAGACAAGCCTCCTGGCTTGCACTCTCAAACGGAAGAGAAGCTAGAAAATAAATTTAGGAAATATCAAGTTACTTCAAAATAGTTCCAATAAGAATGTTCTCGTACGCTTCTTGCAAAATCTCTCTCCCGCTCTTGAAAAATTGCTGCTCTGTGTGGTAGCAAGCTCTCCTCATAATTCGTCTTCTGTTGCAAAACAATTCCATTTTTTGGCACGATTATTTTACTTGACAAGCCATCTGCCACATGATCTACTGCTTGATTGACTCTCTCTGTTGGTTGATCTACCGCGCTGGAGTACTACAATCAGCTTCCTTCATCAAGGGCATGAAGGGGGCTGTCATCTCCTGAACTTCTTGCAAGGCTCTTTTCAAATCCTGCAGCAACATTTGGTTAATTTTCCTCACTGTCACGTACAGTGACGTCAAGGGCTGCAACTGCTGAAGGGAAAACTTCCATCAGAGGCAGCTCCTCACGATTATGATGACATGAATATCGTCTGCCCCAGCAATATTTTGCAACATGGCCAACCCGCAAGCAACAGTAGTAGATTGGTCTCCCATCTTCTGCTCGGTACATGTTGGTGCGGTTGACAAAGGGGTTGCTGGCTTTTTCCTCGGACATCCGCACCCTTTCAGCCATTTCAGCACAAATCGTGCTTACCATATCCAAGACCAGCACCTTGAATTGTTCTAGCGACATCATGCTCTCCAACAGAAGGACGTGAGTTCTTCTCTAGGGGGCCCCAATGTGAAACAACTGTTTTTACAGGTAAGCATAGGCAAAAGAAGGACAACAAAATATGTACAAAAGTTTTCTTTGATTTCAATAAACTTCCAATAACCAAACAACTTTCATGTAACGGCAAATTTAAAACGTGACTATAAATGACTTTAACTGAACGATACAACACGACTTAACTTCACAGCTTCACATAACGACTGAATTCACAACCAAGGGCACAGCATAAAAATCACATGAGAATACACCCTAATTAATTCAAACAACAAATGACTGATGACAACAATAGTGGCGATGGGATGATGCAATAACATGGAATGTTGATGGCAAGGTGACAAACAACAGAACTATCAAGAACATCAAAATAACAGGCAACTGAATATCATAAAACTAAATAAAACATAAAACTAATTGCATAACACAATTGTGAAGGAGCTTCTCAGCCTCGTTTTTGCAATGTTCAAAAGGCCACTGCCATTTCTTTATCGTCAAAGTTGGTCAGGCAAAATCATTACGATCTCCTATTACCATGGGGAAATTTAGAAGCTTGCGTTGTTCAAAGATATCATTTATGGCTTATCAACATGTAAAGGTCAATAAGGATGATGTAAAATTTAAAGCAACATGCAAAGGACGGCCTAGAAAGAAGGAGACTAAAGTCAAAGGAATTAGATCAGTTCAACTGTAAGTTGACTCATTACCAACTACATCGGTGACTGTTAGTCCATTTGTTTCTTTTACTCCGATACCAAATTGATCAGCAGAATCAGGGAAGTCACGTTCGGTTACTAAGATATCAAAAGCTTGACAAAAGGTTGTCTGAAGATATCCACGAACGTTGTACTGAAACAGGCTATCGTTTATTTGACATGGAGCTAATTTCACAAGCTTTCAAAGTGCTTGCCTGTCCAGAATGTTTGTCTTGTTCATTGGAAGTGAAGGATAATCACAGAGCAAAAAATGGGTTTGCAAACAAACAAACAAACTATCCTTGACCTGCCAGGAGTGTTTTTGTCCTATGATTTTTTTACCTCCAAAATAGTGATAGGAAGTTATGAAGTGAACAAACGTTTTGCTTTTGCAATGAGAAGGACTGGGAATGGTTATGCAGGTGGTAAAAAGTTTTGTGCTGCTGCACAGCTGCACCTACAGAGTCTGCAATTTTCTTGTGCATCTTTAAACCAGCCATCATGGTATAAATCGATATTATTTCTTGCAGTTTGCAATGAAGATTTGCTTGTGGGGTTTTTTGCAACCCCTTTATGATATCAATGTGCAGTCCCTGTAATTGTACAGTAGCAAGAACCATACTAACAACCACTAAGGTAATGATAAAATCAAAATTTGTGAGGAGTGAAAAAAAAGAATAGCCATCAGCAGCACTTTTGTCCCAGCTTCCCTCAACATTGTCACGAATTTCCTCTGTTATTGCTTTATACATAACTATAAACCTCTTCAAACCATCTATGCAAAGAACCCATCTATTTCTACATTCATCTAAAAGTTTTGTCTGCTTACAACCAGGATTAAATTTTTGCACCATTTTTTCAAAAAGTTGCTGTTGTTTTGGAGATTTATTAAAAAAGCTACAATTTTTGTCACATTTTCTAACACTCTGAACCTGGTAAGAAGACGCAACACACAAGTTAAGTCGGTGGGAAGAGCAATGTGTGTACAAGGCTAAAGGATTCAGATCAAGAATTCTAGATGACAGTCCAGAAAACTTTCCAGCCATATTTCCAGCTCTATCATAATACTGACCTCTACAGTTCTTTACATCGAGTTGCAATTTATTTGTAATGACATCAATAATTTTATCCTTTAGTACATTACCAGTAAGCCCTATGTCACAGTAGATGAATTACCACTCTACTCCTATCATTCTAAACTTGAAGATTTTGAAGCTTGAAGACCTCTTCCAATGTAATTATTTGAAATGTAGAATGAAAAGATACTGTATGTAGAGGGATTTTAAAATATAAAAACTGAACTGAACTGAACTGAACAGAATTTCAGGAATCTCTGTTTTATTTAACCAAACTTGTCAACATATCTAAGGATAACTGGCATTTGTTCCTTGTTTGAGCAAAAACCTTTACCTCATCAGCAAGGATAGAGGAAATTTTTGCCTCTTATCTCATTGATGATTTGCTCATTAATTATGTCTCCACAACAATAGATGATTTCATTTTGAGTTGTCTTGGACCTGTAGGTTGCATTCCTGGGTACATTTTCGGAATGCTCTTTTAATACCTTATCCCTGCTGTCAAGACGAAAATCTAATAGAGGTTGAAAATTACCACAGTTGTTGGACCCGTAATATCGATAAGAAGATAGCGAAGCTAACTTAACCTTAACTGCTTCCATGAGTTTGTCTAAATCTTTTGCTTTTTGCAAGATCTCCTCTTTTAGCACTTCATGAGAATCTTTTTTCATCAGGTCATATTTATCAATACCTATTGCTGTTGCAAAAGATTGCTTAAGAGAACCAATGGCACCTTCAACCTTTCTCTTTGCATAAGATACCCTTTGATGAGGTGGCAAAGCATGGGTTTTCAATGGTGATTCACCTAAAGCTTTCATTCATTATTTCTCTTTGTTGGTCTTGTATGTCATCCATCTCCACTTGATATATATTGTCGTTTATTTCTTTGCTAGATGTTGATTGTCCCTCTTCTTTGTCAGTTTCAGCATAAGTAGTAGCCTTGTCATAACAACTTTGACATAGCTACATGCCGGGTATACAGTCAATGCCTACTGCAACTAGGATTTTGACCAATTCTAAAGATATTTTGTGACCTCCCTTGACCTTATTCTTGTGATTTTTGAACAAGTCGCGACAATTTTTGAATCTCTTTTCAAATGCTGTTCCAAACACCCACTCATGATGGTAACATATTTTCAGTGACTTAGATGGAGCATTTTCCATTTTTATACCAGCTCGTTTTATAAGGACCAATTTTTTATCAGCTTAAAAGTCATCTAGGCTCTTAATGCCATTTTTTGTTGTGAAATTCTTCTTATGGCAGAAAGCACAATTTTCCATTTCGACAAAATTAACCTCAAGCAACAGAACAACCCACTCTAGCACTTGTTTTTTCTAAAATGAAAGTAACCAACACCAGTTCATTAGAAGTTCGATTGAACTGACCTTTCATGTTTCCTGTCTTGCAGGGAATAGGAAATAACACTTACTACTGAAATGAAGTGTTGCTGTAATTGAGAACAATAAAGGAAATCTCCTCAATGGTGAACTTAGTGTTCAGGGAATTGGTTTTTTGTCCTGCCCAGAGCAGGCTGTTCTGTTTAGGAAGTGACGTGGACACTTGTAGTCTTATGGGATTCTTAACGTAAGGGAAAGAAGTTTGTCCCTTTGACAGGAATCAAGTGATTAATGGCACCCCTTAACATTGTATTTTATTCTGTCTGTATAAGTTTATATGCATCTTCTTATTAATTGCCTATTATATTAATCTAGTACCTATTCTGTTTAGGGGTGTGAATTCACTTGCCAGTGACACAGTATGTATTGTTGCACAGAAAGGAGAAATGGGCAAATTTTCAGATAAAAAATCATATTTTTGGAGCTTCAGTATCTCCTTTTTTCAAATATGCAAGTGAAGTGTGCGATATTTTTGGAAAGCTCTACACAAATTCTTTTAATATTTGAAACTTAAATTTAAATATTTGTTGACAGACTAGTAGAATTTTATCCCCGAAAATGGGTTGTGCAGATTTGCCATATTTTACAATTGGTGAAAAAATTGGAATTTTCTCAATGTTCTGATGACTGTATGAACATTTAAATGCAATTAAGCATGGTTAAAAGGTCTCTAGTGTCAACTAAGGGTTTCCTTTCAACAATATTTTAAACTTTATGGTAATTTTTTTTTGTATGTAGCTCGAAGAAAATTTTGGGCAGGCCACGCCCTAATTTAGAACAATTTTCAAAGGGTGACAACTCCGGAACCAGTAGAGGTATTGACTGCAAATTTTGAATAAACTCATTTCTCCAGGATGTTAATGCATGGTAGGAAAATCAGTAAAATCTAAGATCATAGGTTACATGTCACCTAAATTTGATATGGAATGATCCTTGAATCATCCCTATGTCCCCACAAAGACAACTGTCTACCCATTAAAATAACTGTCTGAACTATAGGAACTACTTTTTCTCCGTTTTTGTTACTGTTTGGTTCAGAACTTGGTTTTGTAAATTATTTATAGATGTAATTTCATTTTCAATGACAGAGACAAATGTTTGTATTGTTTCCAGTACAGTTTTTGTGAATGTCTGATATGCATTGGCGTTCATTGAACCTTCTAACAGCAGCTGACCAGTCAGTAAGGGGGCTTTTCATGAGCTTATCAAATTTAGTGGAATTTAACCCAATGTGCCTACCAAACAAGACACAAGGAACACAGAAAGAACCATTCAAAACACCAGAATAGGGAAGCCATGGAAATTTCTGGAGCCAAGAAGAATTAAATTTCTTAGATTTCCCATAAAAGCTACGGACTTGATATTCATATTTACTGCTAGGTTTTCAAATATTTTTCATAAGATCATGTATTTCAGAATCTGATAGTTTGGGAACCTTTTTGTAGAAGTTACCAATAACATTTTGATTTGAAGAGAACAATTGTGAATCTGACAAATTATCTATCTCTTGAGCATAAGGTTGATCTGATACATCTTTTTCTGCATCTGAAACAAGTTTGGGAATTTTTTTGGCAACAGGAAAGGAAAGAGTTGTCTGTTTTCTCTTTACTGTTGTTGGCAAAGACTGCTTTTGCAATGCTATATCCTCTTTTTCAATCATTGGTTGAACTGTATCATTCCAAATGAATAGGGGAACAACATGGTTAGGTACATATGACCTTGTAAATATATCTGAATCATAAAACTCTAATGGGTGCTGTTGAAGTGTTGGATGTGCTTTGACGTGGTTTCATATTGGAGTTGTTGTGCATATTTGCCAAACCCAGCAGTAAAAGGATAAAAAGAATGTATTTCTAAACCCAAAACACTTGCCAAAACCATCAAAGAGACAAAATGACACAATCATTCTGAAAATTTTTAAGGGCTTCAAGTCATCAGTACTCATGGTCATCCATGGAGCTTGATATGGCCTTATTGTTTTGATTTCATTTGGTTTAAAATTAGAGCACATGCTGAGAACTACTTCTGTCAACTCTGTTTATGATGCCCATCTATTTCGTAATCCTTCTAAGTCTTCCCTAATGGAGTATCTTGTCTTTTCCAGTTACTTCTTAGACCCTTCTCTTGTACAAAATTTTACTATGAAATGTCAATCTCTCTTATAATAGGCCATTTGCCGCAGCAGACATATCGCATATAAATTGGCCAAATTTTTCCAATTTTTTGTTTAAAGCAACACTGCTTATGATGCCTATCTATTTAGTAATCCTGCTAATTCTTTTCTACCAGAGTATCTAGTCTTTTCCAGTTACTTCTTAGACCCTTCTCTTGTACAATACTTTACTATCAAAAGTCAATTTATCTTATAATAGGCAATTTGCCGCAGCAGACATATCGCATATAAATCGGCCAAATTTTTCCAATTTTTTGTTTAAAGCAACACTGCTTATGATGCCTATCTATTTAGTAATCGTTATCAGCCTTTCTTTAAAATATTTTGTCTCTTTCATTTACTTCCTTTTAGTTCGTATTTGTACCTAACTTAATACATATTTCAGATAACCTGTTGCAAGCAAATTTAAGGAGAAAAACGACTAAATAGAGTTAATGAAATATGCGAAAGTGTATCGAACAAAGAAAGTTTCTGTAGAAAATAGTTGGATAATAATGAATCGTTAGAGAAAGTCAAAATTAAAGTGAAAATAACTTTGAAAATTTGCAAGATTTTAGGTAAGCTTATTATGTTTTCTGCTATAAAGGTATCATTACTTGTAAATTAAGTAATTAAATGTCTTCTAATATTTAATGTTTAAGTGTCAAAAGTGTTTAATGCTTCTTTGAATTTTCTTTCAAGAAGATCTTTCGCATTGTGTGTATCTTGTCAGTTATTTGTGTTACTGTCAATTTTTTCACCAGATGTGCCAGCACTTTGCTACCTCAAAATACTTTGAGCACTTTTGCTCTTCTAATAGTTGCTTGCGATGTTATTTCGTTGGCATAAAGTTCAGAAATTTATTTGCTCTCGCCGTCTGTGTATTTGACCTTGGTTGCGAAGGAAGGCTCATTGCAGCTGTCTTCCTGATCCTCTATAACTATGTCGTTTTGGATCTCTTCAACATCTTTGTTGTCAGTACTAACGCCCCTTTCTTCAATCTTGGCAGTGTCAAGTTCCTCATCATCACTATTGACACTGTTGCACTGGATTTCTGAAGCCTTGTTCAAACGCTCTCGACTTTCACTCGACTACTCTCGATTTTTGTTGAGCGTTGTCGAGCAGCGTTGAGTGTAGTCGAGCAGGGGGTGCTCAAACGCTCTTGACTTTTCACTCGATTTCCATTTGATTATAAAATCCCTCCTGCGAAGTGGCAAGATGCTGTGAAAGCATACTGACAACTTGGCGCTTCGTTGAGTCCATTTCTTCGTGAATCCATTTTTCCCTTTCAACTCAGTCTTTGGTGATTTCTTTCGGATTTCCCAAGCGGCTTTCGTTTTTTTCCTTTTGATTTGTTCAACAGTTGGAGGAGGACAGTTTTTGCGCTCTCGTCAAGATCCTCCAGCCTGTCATCGCCATTTTCACGGTCATTTTCTCCTAAACTGAATTCTTGGGAAGGCAGAGAAGGAATGCTGTAAACTGTGAATGATTCGTCCTACATTACGATTGCAACAATACGAACTTCGCTGTTTTGTGTTTTGGCGGGCAAAATCAGAAAATCAGCAGAACACATGCGCACGCTCGACTATGTTGAGCAAGGTGTTCAAACGCTCTCGACAACGCTGAACAACACCTTGAACAATAGGAATGTTGTGTGACTCCGCTCGACTTTTTTAAACATGTTCAAACTTCGCTCGACTGCTCTCGACTTCGCTTGACTGCTCTCAACAAGGTGTTCAAACGCTCTCGACTTTTACCCTCGACAAAAATCTAGAGTAGTCAAGTGAAAGGTAGAGAGCGTTTGAATGGGGCTTGACTGACCGAGTTATTCTTCTTCCATTTCAGTTGCATCTGCTAACTTTGTTACTTCTTTACAAATGCCCTCTTTTCTTATAATGTACTGCAGTCGGTCGTATACAACCCTAACATCCATTCCAATAATGTTTTGGTTGACTAGCACTTCTTTAACTTTATTTATTTGAATGTTGCCCTCCCTTATTTGCTTTCCAAATAATTGTCTTATTTGTACATCTTTCAAATCATTGTTTTTTTCTGTCACCGCAGGTGTGTTCCGCATTGCTTTTCTTAGATATGCCGATGTTTTGGCCAAATTATCTTTCTTGTTTAGCACAAAATAGTGCATTTCTGTCGTTTTCAGGGTATGGTTCATATGAGAAGCCAGGTTAGCCTTCATTGCCGGGTCTGTCTTGTGAATCTGTGACACATTTTCTCATCAAGGACGCATTCATATGCTTTCCGGTGGCGCTCCTCCAGAAGGCTCCAATCTGGTCACGCACTGAAGAAGACGACATGGATTGTCCTGTCCAAGATAAAAATACCTTGTCACTCCTTGTCCCACTGATCTTCGCAATGGTGCTTCTCATTTTCTTCATGAAAATGTCCAAGTAGGTATAAGTTACGATTGGCAAACAAAGAACAGCAGGCCCACATGTTTGGATTGTTTTATGGTCAAGCACTGACATGACCATCATTACGCCACCTTTACTGCCTTTTTGACGTCCTCTCAAGCAAAATTTGAGATTGTTCCCGATCTGCTAGCATTGTCAATTAAAAGGGATGTTGCTAAGAAATCCCTTACACAAGTGTAATCCAACCTGCGAAGCTCAGTTTGTGTTGTTCTGGTGAAGGTGGAAAGAACTTTGGTAGCATTTCTCACTGGAGCTGATTGATCAAAAATCTAAAAGGAATAACATGAGTTGAAGGTAGCGATTCAAGCCAAAGCGCAAAAAATTGATTTTCATTTATATGTCAAAATCAAGAGAGCATCAAATATAAAATAGTGGCTATCAAATAATTTGGCTCATCTTAACTCAAAATGAACAACTTGGCTCAAAACAAACAATGGGAGGATATATTATCAAAAGAAAACTTTTGTAGAATTTAATAACCCATTTGGGTATTTTGCAAACAAGTAACACTGGCGAAAATAAAGGCTGAACACATGGCACCATCTTGATGAACATCTGGCCAATCAAGGCGACAAGGAGCGCTCAACTTCCAAGTTTGTAAACAACACGTGTCAAGTAAAACCAGTCCTTCAAGCCTACAAGGCGAAATTGGGCCCAAACAAGTAAATAATGTTGAAAAATTCATAACCTAAAATTCAATCTGTAAAAAAAACTTACCAGTAGGCATTAGCTAGTAACGCAAGCCATGATTTCTCTCTCTTTAGTAAAATTTTAATTTCTATGATAATAACTGCGGATGGCAGGTGCTCCGAATCTTCTGCAAAAACATAGCGTGCGTGTAAACTTAATGCATCCGTTGCTATAAAATGCTATAAATCTATCAATCAATCAAAAACTTTATTAATGTGTCAAAAAGTATTAAGCTTACAAGCTAATTGGGGACACAACAACAAAAAAGTATATATAATTGCAGTTACGCAGTCCCGACATGAAGGTTTCATGTTGTTTCTGCTTCTGCAGCTCTGCACACTACTTCTGATAAACTTCTCCATTCTTTGCGGTCCCTTGCTGTGGATCGTATCTTTTCAAAATCTCCATTGTTCTTTATGTTCGGTAGTGGAAAAGACCTTTCCATTGCTCTTGCTCTGGTGATATCTTTATTTAAGGTTGTCACGAGAGTTTCTCTAGGTCTGCCTCTGAATCCCCTCTCCGATCCCTCAAAGTAAAATCTCATTGCCTTCACAGCTGGTGTATCGTCGGACAAACGCAATATGTGACCAAACAGCCGCCATCTCCCCTTGAGGATGTCAATTGAAATTGGTCCTTCTTCGCATCTTTTGTACAAGTTCTGATTGGAGATCTTGTTAGGATAATTTTTTCCTATTAGCTGTCTCAGTTGCTGTCTGTGAAAAGCATCTAGACCTTTCGTATCTTTTTGTGTCAGTCCCCAAGTAGAGCTGTTATACATCAGAACTGGTTTTACAAGTGTTCTGTAAAGCTTGAGGCGAAGTTTCTCGCTGACGTGGTCTTTTCTGATCCAGATGTGATTTAATCTATTCATGGATGCTATCGACAACTGTTTTCTTCTATGTATATCTTCCGTATCACCTAACAGAGAGCCTAGCTTTTTAACTGCCCTCCATCGCTCTGTGTTTCTGTCTCCTCAAAATATTTCTGTTTGCTCTGTTTTGCTGTTGTTTACTTTCAAATTATCTCTAAGCAGAATCTCTCCAATCTTTTCTGTGATGATATTCTTCTCCAATTCACTAGTTGTGAGGAAATCAGCGTCGTCTGCGTATATAGCTTCCTGAGGTAGAAATGTTGGAGACCAGTTACCATTTTCTTCGTGATCTTTACTGTTAATCTCATGTCTAAAATTCCTTACTTTTCGGAGTGATTCTTCAAAAGTATATAAAGTTAAATTAAAGCATAAAATATGAAATTACAGTATAATTATTAAAACATAAAAATTTCTAAAAATCCTGTGTACAACTAAACTACAGTCTGCAGTCTAAAAGAGTTTCTTCTTATATCCATTCTTCTTATACATCTTTTGAATTGGTTTATTTTTGGCACCTCCTTGATTGCTCTCTTTAATTTGCTCCACAGATATGGGCCAAAGTATGTTACTCAATGTTTAACTTCTTTTACTGTAATTTCAGAATTACAAAGTTGCTGTTTTTAAATCATAAGGAGTTTCTTTTATTGCAAACATATCCTTTATAAAATGTGGGGCTATGCCGTTTTAAACTTTCTTTCTTTCAAACCTAATGTTCTTTATTACAACTTCATCAATTGGATCTGGATTAAAGGACGGAAGGGCAGAGGCATTTGACACATTCCATAAGAATAACTTTGATGTGCAGGAAACCACTGATTCAAATTTTTGTAGACCATGTTCGATAACATCTTAAAGTGAAGAGAACTCCACCAACATGGTTGCAGTTTCCAAAGCCACCAAGACAAATGCCAGCAGGACAAGAACAGGCAGCAGAGCAAACATCACCAGAAAGATTTGAAAGCTTTAAAATTACTTTATAGAGAACCTTCTTCATACATGCCTTGACACGAACATTAAAGAAAGTAAACTCCTTGTTCTTAGCTATATTTATCTTTTTGATAAACCCTGCAAAGATATATTGAAATACTTTCAGTTTCTTGTAGGCAGTACTCTTAAGAAGTATGTGCTTAAATTTTGATGTCCGAATAACCCAATATTCAAAGAGCTGGAGAAAAGTAAAATTTCACTTAAATCAGCTGTCCAAGGATGATGCTTGCACTGATCATAAAAAGCCTCAAATATGAAATCAATTTCGTGACAAAGGAAGGAGGACTCATCTGAAATGTCATTGGATTGAGAATTGAAACTCTTTGCATGGCAAAAGACAGCAAATGCATGAGGAATAATGTCGGCTTTGATATCAGCAGTTTTCTCCCTGTACTGTACAAGAATATGCTTCAAATATTTAATAGTCAGTGTCTCAAGATCTTCTAGACAATCAACTTTTCTTCCCTTTGGCAGCAACAATTTGAATGCATCCATTTCCATTGGAAATCAGACGAAAAAAATCTCTAAAATGTAGAAATATATGGTCGACTCTGTAGATATCTAAAGGGGCCCGATACGTTTGCACAGCTGACTACATCAGTTGCCTCAATTTGAAGCCTTTGTCTCTCTTTCAAAAACTGCATGCCGTAATTCGTAAGCACAGTCTCCAGTGATATTGCTCATTGTCATTGGTTCTCAACTCAAGCTTCTCTATTCTTTCACTTACTACGTCAATATCACCATTATTTTCTGACGCTCTTTTCTCTAAACCCATGATGCCCAGTTTGTAATTCTCCATAAGAACAACTTTGGCCTCCAGCATTTCGCTCTTCAATCTCTGTTGATTAATAATATTTTTCAAAGCACTGACATCATCTTTCGTAGCTAAACTAGCTAATTTTCTGTTGAGAATTTTTGAAATTGCCTTAAGCATTTCTTGGTTGGATTGCTCTACCAGATCCTACCAGATCCTGATGGAAAGAGGCCACATTTTTCATGGTGTCAAATTTGACAAGGAATGGAATGCTGTTACTTGGTGATGCCACTGGTTATGAAATTGCAACACCAGTTCACACCAAAATTGTAAAACCCACATTGGATAGAGATCAGCAGTTTGATGGACCAGTTATTTACCGTCTGTTCAGAACAAAAATTTTGTACATTTTGCCAGACCATGAATTATTTCCAGCATCATATATTCCAAGATCATAAAGCCGCTAACTCAAAAAACGCCAAATTTGATATTGAAACAATGTTCATTGACTCTGATTGAGACGATTTCCCATTGTATACTTCTGAAATGGCAGCTGCTGTATCAGCAATTACTAGAAGATGACAAAAAAAACAACATGGTCATTTGACGCATGTAACTCAAAATGCAACAGAGCGAGCATTGATGACAAAGAATATTGTTGTTGTTAGGCGAAAAAAGTTGTGGGAAGATGAAATTGAGAAAATCAATTTGTTTAACGATGCAGCTGGATGCGGTGATAATGATACAAACATTGAAATACAGTTTGTTGGAGAAAAGGGCGTTGATGGAGGTGGGGTATGCAGAGAACTTTTCTGTAAATTGTTTGAGAATTCAGTAGATAAGAAGATGACAGGAGCTGAAAATAAACTAACTTTTAAGCATGATTCACAGCAATTTGAAAAAACGAGTATTATTCTTTGGGAAAGGCTATTGCACTGTATTTTTTGAATGGATGTGATGGACCCCACAACTGGTGCAAAAATCTCATTGAACACACTCTTGATCCTGATGACAAGATAATTCAGTTTCAAATACAAGCAATCCCAGGAGTTATAGTTAGAGCAGCTGTCATGAAATTAGATTCAACCAAAGATCAAGAAAGTATGGACATATTGCTCAAGTAAGATGTTCTGTTTGATGCAAGATTTGATATAGAGGCTGGTTTTAATGCCACTAAAGTCCTGTTCAAAAAGAAAAACAATCTCATTCAGAAGATAGCAAAATACTTTATAATATACAGACAACAGTTGTGGTATAAAGAAGACTGTCTAAATGAAAATATTTCTACCATAAACTGTCAAATATCATGTGCAGAAACAAAGCTAGAGTCTAATAGATACAACATGGCTGATTTATGGTTCGAATAGCAAATTTATGAATTTTATCAAAATTTATCATTATTGCTGTATATTGTAAATTTCAATTATTGCAATTCAAATTCCTGTGATGTTTGTCTTATATGGAGACACCAAACTGGACATTACTAACACTTTGTATATAGGTTGAGGTGGATGCCTAAAATGTGATATTTACGTTAATAACATATACAAACCTTTTTTCAGGCGTTTTGCACTTGAAACTGTATTCATGGAGTCTGACACAATTAATATCAAGAAAGTTGGTCACGATTTAGATTCTGCTGTTAGTTCAGCACTTGGAGACATTTTCCAGAGAACAAGTAGGCTCTTTTGCACGCAACCTCTGCGAAAAGCTGAAGAAAGAAAATTGAAGACACTAGGTGCCAACCAATCCAGCAACCATTAAACTAATAATGTCTGATATATATATGGAGCACGGTCAGGCCCAGTCGAGCAACTTGGTCTTGCTGATGCAGATGATTGTTGGACTTTGATACTAAATTGGTTAGCTTGGAGGTGGTGTGGGATATTCTCATCCCAGAATTCCATTCATGGTTTGCGAAAATGAGAGCAGACAAGTTTAAGTCGAATCTAGTTCTCAGTGGAAGAAAGTCATTGAGTATCACTGGCAGATTTTACACGAATGGCTTGGAGAGTGCACATCATCTGCAAAAGAAATTCAGCCGAGAGGAGACTACTCCCAAGAATGTTGCATACGTCAATGTCATGCTACAACAGTGATCTGATGAATATTACAATGAACCCAGGAAATGGAGTGTATAGAGCCCAATACGACGCCAGCAGCATGTTGACGTGTTTTTCAACTTCAGGCCAAGCCAGAGTCAGCTCTTTGAAAAAAACAAGTGGCAGCTGGTCTAAAGAAAGCCCCAAGAGCAGAAAGAAGATCAGAAAAAGCTGACCCAGAGCTTTTTGTTAATCGTGTCATTGGGGTAGAGCAAAGGACTTGCCAGGTTACCCCAATCAAAGTAGAAAAAGTCCAGCCTAGTGCATCTGCACATCCAGAACTAGAAGACTAATAGGTAGTTCTTCCTAAAGAGGGATCAGCAACAGCAGATGGGTGTGATCCTGTGAATTCGGACAGACCCATGAAGAAAGCATTTCATTTGGTGCATCGTCAGGATAATAAGAATGCCCCAGCATCAGTGAAGCGTTGCCATAGCTGCAAAAGATTATTTACAGATAATGATTAGGTTTTGGTCAAAACAGAGGACACGGGGAATACACAAACAAGCAAGGGAAGCAACTTTTCTATCATGGAAATGTATGCATTCACTACTTCCGTCAGTGTCTAGTTGAATTTCAGCAAAATTTTAAATATTCAATGATAACTGTTCTAAGATCACCGATAAATTTACTGCCAAAAGGATCTGCAAAACTGTTTTCTGATCAAGGCTGCAATTTGGAATAGGGACAAGTTGAAGGATTTGTGTTTGTTATGTTTTATATTAACATCTGTTGATTTTTCCTTTAAACCTAACTACCTTAGAAAAGGAGAAATACTTGCGTTTACCCAGTTTTTATGTAAAAACTGGTTTTTAGATTCTATTTCAGCAATTCTATTTTTAATCACATCATAATTACATGTGTTATAGCTTTCTGCCATATTAAAGGCACAATACAAAAAGAAAGGGTCCTTCACTGCCAGAGGAGATTTCTAAAGACAATCAAGTAAACTTGCAATTAACCTAAAATACATACAACGGCACAACTAGGTATAACTTTCAACAAAGTATACTTTTTTGGCTTAATTGTTGATTAATTACTGGAGTTCAAGCACAGATGCTTGAGCTTTTTCCAGTGGCTTACTATAATCATTACGTCGCCCATCAGATGTCCTTATGTGCATCAAGGTCAGCAAACGAAATTCCACGCGTAGCAAATTTTTTGGAACAACTGATAAAATTGTAACATTCTTCCGTAGCAGTCGTAAACGAGCAAATCATCTTGGACATAACCTGCCCAAGCCTGGGGACACTCGTTGGTTGTCACGCGACTCAGCAATTCGAGTGATTGACAATTGCTGCAAAACCATTGGAACAGTTTTATTTGAAATTGCCAATGACAGGAAAGAAAAGGCCAAAACTTAAAGTTTGTCGAGAGCCTTAGGGATTCAAATACAAGAGATTGAATTTATATTTATGCTAAAACTATACCGAAAAATATTCAAGCACTGTACGCCTATGATTACAGTGATGCAAATGTTTAATGACTTTCATACGGCCTTGTATGATTTTGATTTCAATCAAATTTTGGAGGATAGTATGCAGTTAGACCCAATAATCCCAACAGTTTGTGCCAGAGTTGGGTGGAAGAATATGGAGGTAGCCATAGATGGCCCAGGAAAACTGGAAGATTTCCCTTGTTGAACTTGGGAAAAAAATAGTGACAATGTTTTTATCCCAACTAGCCTGGCGCTTGAGAAGTTTAAGTGGGTTAACCTCGTTCACCCCACAAAGTTTTTTGAGAGGAAATTCGCAACTTCTAGTGAGCAACGAGCTTTACTAGCCGAGCTGCGACAGCTCTATCCATTTGGTGTTATGGACCCTGTGGCAACCAAGTATAACCTCAATCTTTTATATAAAAATTCTGAAATAGCGATTCTGCTAAAGAAAGTTGTCCGGGATAGAGATGAAATAATTTCAAGAAATTTCACGAGTTTCAAAAAGTTGCAAACTGCAGACAGAGAGGAAAGTTGTTTGATTGAAACTGAAGAAATGGAAGAACGAGATGAAATTTCAACCAGAGCAGCCAACTGGCGAAATAGAGCCGGTCCCAGAAGAAATTGCGACTATACAAGACCTTTTAACGGTGATAAAAAGGGCAGAGCTTGAAGATGCCCTTCTTCAAGCTGTTCATTTGCTTGAGCTGGCAGTTGTTATTCCACTGACAAGTGTGCATTGTGAGCGGATATTCAGCAGACTGAAGAGGTTGATTTCAAGCAGCAGGGCGAATATGATGCAAACTAGAAAGGACAATCTTGTTTTCTTACATGTGGAACATGAATTGTTAAGAAATCTTGCCAAAAATTCATCTTTTAAGGATGTCATTGTAGATAGATTCAAAGCTTGTAACCAGCGAAGATATGATAGATTTTCAAAGAAGTAAATAGACTGTTTCAAGCGAACATTTGTGAAGTTTTTTAGATATTTGGAAATAATTGATAACATAATATAAACTCTTTAGTGGATTATTACCGAAAACATCTCAAGTAATTTCCAAAAAGGTGAGGCATTTTGGGCGTGGCTTCTTCTAGTTACCTTGAATACCAATTGAATTTTGCTCCCAGCCGCCCCTGGCAAACCCCTCTGTGACAAGCCATAACAGCTAACTTTGTAAAATCATGATCCTTTGGCAAAATCGCAGGATATATCTCTCCATAGGCCACTTCAGAATTTCTGAATCGTCCCTTGCATCTGGCAATTCCTTCTGCATCAACAAACAAACAAAGATTCTTTTCTTAGTAACTGTAACACTTGTTCGATGTGATATAATGTTGAATTTCCAAAATCCACAATTTCCATGTGTTATTGACGTCTCCAACTGTTATGATTCCCTCGTAGTCATTTGAACCGTCATCTCTGACTTCTGATTCGCGAACTTTAGCCTTTAGATTGTCAATGAATCGCAATACAAGAGCTGTTACTCTCAGCAATTTATTGTAAATACTAAAATTCCTGACATTGATAACAGTAGATAAATTTCTGTTAGTTTGTTTGGTCAGCAAAGTAAGCTCACAGTTAGGCCTCGTTTCAATTAAGGCATCCTTGTCAGGTTCAAAATTTTCTGGAGAGGGTGGCCAGGTATGCTCAGGTAGCCTGAGCCATGCAGGTCCCTGATACCACTTTTCATGCTGCTCTAAAGAGGAAGCATATGCTCCTCTAGATGCAACATCGGCAGGATTGTCAAGACCTGGTGCAAATCTTCACCCTCCAGACAAACTAGAGCATTTGATCTTGTTGACTCTTGTTATCAACACACTGCTTTAAATCCTTAGTCGTGTTTATCCAGTACAATGCATTTAGACTGTCAGTCCAATGAAATTTTTTCCAACAAAGAGACTTTCTTCAAGAGATTCATTGACACTAAACATAAGTTTGGCCAGTATTTCTGCTGCAGTTAACTCAAAACCGAGGTATTGAAATCCTTTCAACCGGATCAACTGGATCAACTGGATCAACTGTTGATTTTCCTGTGACAAGTGTACTCAATTTTACTTCCCTTTCCCTTTTATAAACTGCGTATAGGCAAGCACCAAGGGCTTTCATAGATGCATCAGCTAACCCATGCAGATCTATATTGTAAATGATTTCCTTTTTTTCGGCAAACAGATATATTTGTACAGCAATAGAAATTGTTTTGTCGAGATCAAATAACCATCTTTTTCAAATCCTAGTGTGTTCTTGGTTGAGCTCATCATCCCATTTGTTTTCAACAAGCACAATTCTTGAAACAGTAGCTTTGCTTTTAAAGTTATAGACGAGATCAATCCTAAAGGGATCAAACATTTTTGCAGCTGTAATCAAAACATATCTTTCAATGTTACTGCGGTGCCGCTTATTGAATAAGAAAAAGCTGCAGTATTGTTTGTTGACTTACAAAAGGACTTGTCACCTTTTATTGTTGTGTTATCTTCAATGAACCTTTTGTATACTTTTGTTTCGTGTTTTTCAGGTGTTTGGAACGTTGTTTGTTTTGTCTTGATGTTTGTCAGTTTTTTAAGTTGGATGTTACTATAAAATTGAGTTCACTGCTATCTGCTGTTTTACTGTGGTCTCGAATAAAACCCCAAAACGGATCACGGACCACTTATACAATTCGTCAAAGATACAACAGTTATTAAATCTAGAACTGTGTTCCAGTTTAATCTCAAGACTTTTGTTCGACAGGTCTTTCCAGCTCTTGAAATTTTTCCAAATGATAATTTGGTATAAAATTTATCCTCTCTTCTTATTCCTCCAAAGGGATAGCCATTTGAGTTGACATCATATGAAAGCAAAATTTCCATAAGTTTCTTTGAATTGCTATTCGCCATAAATTTGTTTGGCATTCAAGCATACACTGGTCGCCTCCTCCACTGTATTCACAGACGTTGATAAATCGTAGCCATAAAACGAATCCAGCATTAATTTGACGTGTTCTGGGTCGAGCTGTTCATATTTCTTCATGGGATGTTGCAAAGTGGCATTGATAATGAATGGACTGCAACAAAGGCCAAATACTACTGCACAAAACTGATAACAAACAATTTGAGGATCTTTGTCATTGTCCTTAACCCATAAGATGTCCTTAACTGCAATTGAAAGAAAAACCTTTTCAATGTCTGTAATGAATCCAATTTTCTTCCCTCTAAATCTGAGCAAAATAGCATACAATTGCTCAGTCAAAGATTTTCCATCCATAAATGAAATATTATTTTCAAATGATTCATCGACAGTTTCCTTGTTTCTTATCTCGATTGCCTCAAAGTCCGAGAATTTATTTAGCTCAAAGATTATTTCGTTTTAGTCGAAAGAAGTCTCAAAAATAGAGCATTGTCATGTTTTTCACACCCCAATTATATCAACAATAAAGAAACAAAAATCTAGAATAATCAACCTTCGATATGTTATTCAAACCGTATTTACAAAACAATGCAGAGTAAATGCAAACACAAAGGTGTCTAATTATGGGCATGCGATGCCCAGTTTCACGGTTACCACAACGGTTGCCATTTAGAAATGGTTGTTTTTAAGAAATGTTTCACATAAAAACATTAGTTTAAGATAGAAAATTGATGTCTATACCTTGAAATGAAAACTACATCAACTTCTGCATTGTCAACGCTTCAATAAATGAAAAAATTGAGAGTTCCTAGGTGATTTTGACGGTTTCCACTACAAAATGAAATAGAAGACAAAGACATAATCTCTTTAAGTTGAGTGGAAAGCGTTTCCCATCTCCATAAAATCGCTTATATCTTTGTAGTTATGCTGTATTTGTACAGAAAAATGGTTTCTTCAACGTGAGCTTATGTGGTTCTATGGTACATGATAGAAATAAATAAATTTATTTTTCAAGATAGCCAAAAATAAGGAATCAATGCGTGCTTAAACAAGTTTTAACCGTAGAAAACGTGATAAAAAAGGTAGCAATAGTTAAAAAATATGTTGAATTCAAAGAATCAGTTTTGCAAAACAGTGAGAGCTGACGCTATATCTTTACAGTCTTCCATTCTTACTTGGTAACAAAATTTAAAATGGTGCCACCTCACTGCCATCATTTTGTTAAAATAAGGAGTTTTACGCACAGAAACAAGCGATTTAAGATAAATTCATCCATAACATAACGGCGATTACAACTCAAACGAAAACTTAGACGAAGTAAATTCTTACAGCTCACAGCATGACAGCGTGCAATAAAAGCGGAAGTAAACGTCATTGTTCGTAACTAAACAATAGCTCTATTTTTTGTATATTCTAACACATTTCAGTTTCTCTGTCAACAACGACACTATTCTTTACAAAAATTATTGGTCCCTTGCTAGTGCAAACTATCGGTGTGCCATTTTCTAAGCATATGTCTCTTGTGTAGTGGGTTTTTGGACCCGGGAAGTGCACCAATTGACCCTCAAGGAGCAATGGCATATCCGACCAAGGTATCATGCTTTTTTCCCATCTAAAATCGTTCAGAAATATAAGTTCTTTGTCTTCTACCCCAACCCATGCAAAGGAACCTGTTGCGGGATTGCAGAAAGATTCGGAAATCCTTGTGAGCGGGTTCAGTATAAATGTTTTGCCACAATTTGCGGGACCTGTTATCAGGATATTTCGTCCTCTTCCTCTTTCTAAAAGCTCCTTCACAGCCTCTGAAAAATCTTTTTTGCTAATGTCGTTTTTTTCCAGCAGCTCCTGCGCGCATATCAGCCATTGCCCTTCACAAATGCAACGGTTTTCCAAAGCTTTTTTTAGAATGTCCATTCTTTTCATTAGCTGCCGCATCATCGTCTGTTTTGCATCTTCCACATCCCATACAGTGCCAGTAAATTCTACCAGCGTCTTCGTCGATCTGCTTATGCAGAATTCATACAGCTTTGTCTTCCTATTCTTTTTCAGAGCATTGACGTGGCGCAGAAGTTCCAGTCCATTTGAAATTTTGTTTGATATAATCAAATCCGCTACCTCAATTTTTGAAAGTTTGCGACTTTTAACTTTTTTTTCCCTGCTCTTTTTGACGCAACATACGTTCTTGGTTTCATCACCTTCTTTGGATGCCCCCTACTGAATTCAACTTTCAGATCCTCGTTCAGCACATAGTTGTATGCAGTATAATAGCCTGACCAGATCATAGCCTGATAATAGCCTGACCATGACCAGAAAATTTCACTGGGATCCCCAAGAAATTGTCTAAGTATTCCCATACACGGAGCCATCTCATAGCTTTGTTCAAAAGTAACGCCACATGGAAATGTGTGCCACCATCTTCATGCCTTTCTTGACAGCAACACCACTGCTTAATACTTGATTTTGTAACGCTTTTAAAAGCATTTACAACTGCGTCGGCAAACCATCTTCTATCGAAAGCCCCCGTGTCCGCTCTACTGTATGTTACTAGATACGCTTGTCTCCTGACATCTTTTTCAAGCCCTTCAGGTTGCTCAGAAATTTGGGTCACGTCACAGAATTTTTCGCTTTGACAACTTGCCATCGTTTTGTTTGTATGGTTCCAGTAGAGTGATGTATCTGTTACGAAATTGTCTCTACAGGCTTTTATATCCTACTACATAAATAATTGAATTGAGAATTCAAGACCCGTTGTGTACTTGTAATTAGAAACACAATATGAAATTGTGAAAGCTTTTAGCCTCGTTCTCGTTACGATACAAAACGCAACTAAATTCCTTACTTTCTCTCTATTTGTTTCTTACAACAACCACAGTTTCATATTGTACCATTTTAGAAATACGCTACCAGTTTCTAATGTGTTTAGAGGTCTCCTTAACTTGACACGTGAGCTGATAACGATCCCCTTGTCAAAATCCAAGGTCAATTCAAGTGCCCTGCAGTTTTGATATCAAATCTCCCCCATGAGTGGTTGGAATTTTTTTTTACCTCAAAGTCACTACCAGGGACATAATTTCGTGTATAAAAGACTAGATTGAGAAGTCAAATTCAATATTTCAATTTTTCCCTTCTCAAGACAATCCTTGCCAAAAATAACTGGAACACTTTCCCACTGCAGCATGCAAATAAACAAAGCAAGTCTAAAACTACCTCACCAAAATATCACTGCCGCTTCAAAAATTTCGACCCCCTCCCTCCGTACAATGTTGATTTATTTTCTCAATACTTTCATACAGCTTTCAGTGAAGAAATTTTTACCTTCAGGATGAAAACAGCCGAATTGAACAACATTGTAATGGGGGGAGGGGGGGGGGGGTGATTTTTCAAAAAAGCTTCAGCTTTACACAAGTGTTCCAACAATTTTGGCAAGGATTGTAGCAAGAAAAGATGCAAAAAGCTTGTTTAGGTATAA